TTTTAAATTAAGACTCCTCCCACAATTTGGACCATTATTTCAGCCTCCAGATTTTTAATTATTAAAAATGATTAATTTCCTGTTAAAGTCACAACGAAAAACAACCTGCTTGATACAATGAGGACAGGAAGGTAATAAGATGAGCTTAATAGGGGGGAAAAAAACAAAAGCAGCACACAGAAGCACTTGTAGTTCATATCACTTTATCGAGTTCCAAAACAAAACACATTCCAGTAGAGTGTGTTTCCACAGGGAAACTTGCCTTTGGCATGGTGCATGTTACACTTTGCAGATAACTTTTCAAACAGAACATGGTTTTTGCAAGAACGCTTCAAGTCAAGAGATTTGTTGGGTTAAAAAGAACTTTGTATCCATCAGATACTGTTTCACCTATAACTTTAGCCATGCCCACCACAGACAAAACTGTTTCCTGTCTTAGGAGGTGTCAAGAAACAGCCCCTTTAACTCTACCAGAGGAAAAAAAAACAACCCTTTAAACATTGAGTTCTCTTTGCTGCACTTCTCTCACTTCTGCATTTTCTTCTCTAAAACGTACCGTTCTGTGTGGCTCAGACAGCAAGGAAAAATAGACACTATATTCCAAAAATATCTTTACTCAGCAAGCTGCTGTGCTTCAAGTCCTCTGCATACATTTACAATTATAAAACTTACAGCGGAATTGAATATATGCTTGGAAAGGACAGGATTGATGAATCTAGATTTAGCGTTAGTGTTAACGAGGCCCTGAAACCAACAGAGAATGTCTCCTGGTAACAAATACTGTACCAAAGCCAGATGGAGCATATCCCACAGTTGGCCACAAACTTAGGTTAAATGCATTAGTGAATGTTCTTTCAATACCATCAAGACATCCTGTAGATTATTTCCCCCTCAATTTATAGGATAGTAGATAGTAGGATGAGTAGGAAATGTGGATTAATCCACCACTGAAGACAGTTGGCTTGCTTATAGTATTGGCTGATAATAACTTAACACAACACATCCAGATATATATATTTTTAAAATGGAGTGCTTTGAGTGGTCTGTAGGAACAGAAAAGAACTCCGTGCTAGTTGTGCCATCAGCACATATGTCGAGTGTTAAAAAACTGTTTTGTTTTGGTGGGGTGTTTAAAAACCCTGTCAGTTTGACCAGCAGGGGGCTTTGCTTCCACAGTCCTCTTAGCACTGCGCATCACATGTAACAGGAACGCATCACAGAGCCAGACGGTTGTGCAGTAAGTTACTAATCAGTTTGAAAATAATGATTCCTTTTAGCCTACATAATATATATAGAGATTGGAGATGTAACATGGTAAAAAGCAAAAATTAAAAACTGAAATACCAATTGTCATTAGATGCATTCTATAGATGCAATAACAATTGTGTTATTGTGCGGTTTTGTACATTTATGGTTACGCTCTCCCCACGTTCTTGCACTTTTATTTCATCTTCAATTTCCCAGAAAGCTCCTCACATGAGTCAAGCATTTTATTATAATCAGCTCAAGTTATGCTATCAGTGGTGATAATCAGGAAGACAAAGTGTGACACTGTCCTAATCGTAATGCATGTATAAAAAGAATCATCTGATATATCAATGTCAGAAGTTTGAACTCCTTAGAAATCTGCAGCCATGTTCTGTTTAAAGGTTTTTTGTGTATTCAGCAATAAATTATAAACTTGAGGCAGAGTAATTTGGATTTGTTGACAACAATAACTCTGAATAACTTTGCCCATATTCTTAAAGCTCACTCAGTAGTGTGAAACCACATCAAAATCTTTGTCATGTTTCAGTGTGGGGCAATATTCACAAACAGTCTGCTGGATCAGTGTAGCTTTTATGTCTGACGTTTCCAAAAGACTTCAGGTCTACAAAGAGTTTTTACATTCTTTCATCTTGGCCTTAGTTTCACTGCTCACTTTAGGGCTTGTGCTGATATACTGTAAATATGATCAGAAACTGTATCTAAATAATGAATCATCATCTTTGTAGCTTGGAATAGTGACACAAATATTAAAAATGAAAAGAAAGTGTAAATGTTTTGGTTTTTTTTTTGAAAAATATGTATAATAAAACAAAAGCAAAGGACAAATACTTCCCTTTGAACACATCCACTTGTGAACACTGTTAGTTTGAGAGATATTCAGACTTGTCTCAGTTTTCTAACACAACAGTCCGGAGCTGGTCCTCCTCGCTCATGCTGATTGTAGCGATAGCACCATCGTTGAATTCAAAGGAAGTCCCACCATCCACCACCATGCA